TATGGAGTATTTTTGATGAAGCATAATCTAAATAAAACATAAAAGAGTGGCACTCTTTGAGCACAAATTAAACATAATCTAAATAAATAAATGATATAAAAATTTGATATATCAAAACTAGATCATATGATGAACCCAATTATATTGAATTTATACTACATTAAATATACTTTTCTTATAATTTATGGTCAAAGTCTATCATTGTTTGACAAAAAAAAAAACAAAACATGAAAGATTATTAAGACGAGAGGGAGTAGATTTTTTTTCTTCAAATTAGTTGCTTAAAACATAATCTTAAACAATAATTCTATTTTGTTTCTAATTGATAGTCTCTTCATCCAAAAAAAATCTCTAGTTTTCTTTTTCTACTTTAATACTCCTTCCGTCCAAGAATAAACTTCTCAATTACTATTATAGTCTCTCGATAACTTATGTGTGTTTGCATATTTTCATCAATCATTTGATAAAATAAAATATTCTTGTCACATCTTATTTTATATAACCTTTGATATAGTTTTGAATAATGTAATTTTTATTTTTTATGACATACCAATTTGTAAATAAAGTATTTTTAAAAAAGATGAGATTTTGTACGTCGTTCAAAGCATGAAGTTTATTAGAGTACTACTCTTACATACATGTTGAGTGCTTCTTTGGTGTACTTTGGTGCATATCATTTTTATGTACTTTTTTCACATAATTTTTTTATTGCTTATTTAAGTAGTAAAGAAATATTTATTTTACTAAATTATATATAATTCCATGGTGGACTTTAGGTCCACCATAGAATTTGATACACATGTTGGATTAAAATAGGGGAAAAAACTAAAATATAAAGTAGATGAGAGCCGTGTGTCTCACATTTCCAGACACCTCATACTTGAGTACTACATATATATCATAACTTTGGAACAAAAAATCATTGGAATCAAACTTAGATCTATCAATTGTAACACTGAATAAACCAAATGAAGTTTTTCTAAAAAATAAGTAATTATCGTCTTACTTCGAATAATGTAAAAAATATCGTCTATTATAAAAGTATTTTGTGTATAAATTGGTATTAAAAAATAAGTACATGTTGCATGTTTAGAAGTTATATAGAAAATTTTACAAAACAAGAGGTGACTGCAATATTTTTTTAATAAAATGATCAAAAAAACATGCAAACTAACAAAAATATTTTATCAAAATATCAATATAGCAATTGTAACAATAATTCTGGGACGAATGAAGTAATAATATTAATTTATATTGCATTTCAAATTTATTGATATTGTGTGCCAATAAATTGAACCACGCCTAACATTATGCTTGGTTCGTGAAATTTAAAATTTTTTTGCTCATTTTTTCCACCAAAATGGGAAAAAATCATGTTCCTTCTTCTTAATGCATTTTCTTCTCCCATATTCTTAACTTTCGATTTTCATTTTATTTTTTCTTTCTAACCAAACAAAAGAAGTTAAATTACTTTTCATTCTTTTTTTTTTCATTTCAAATTTTTAAAACCAACCAAATGAAAAAAAATTGGAAAAAGACAGCAGTGATGGTGATGGGACCCAACAGTGATATGTTCTATTCTCAAGTCATCATTTTTGTTTCTTTTAATCAATGGCGCATGTAAATTCATTTAACTTTTCAATGTCACTCCACATCATATAATTTCACTTGACTTTTTAATATTGTCCCACGTCATTTCTTTATGAAAAAGTGCCACCAAAACAAATTCTATTGTCTTTGTTTCGAAGTTAAACTTTTAGAAATATTTTATTTTCAGCACTTAGGGCCTGTTCTTTAGAACTTGAACTCTTAACTTCCAATTCTTTCCAGTTTCTTTCAGTTCTTTTCAGTTTCTTCCGGTTTCTTCCAGTTCTTCCAGTTTCTTCCATTTTTTTCAAGTTTTTTCCAGTTTCTTCTAATTTCTTCCAACTATATTTATTTTTCTTCAAATTCTTTCTACTTTCTGACAAATCACTCTAAAAAAATATATTATTATTATTATTATTACTATTATTATTATTATTACAACTTTTTTTAATTACAACTTTTATGTTCATAACTATAGTTTATAAATTATTTCATTTTTTCATCTCACTATTTTTATGATTCACATTCATTATTATTTTTTTTTCAACTTTTTAATATGAATAATAACGTTTTTTTTGTATATTAATCTACATGAAAAATTAGGAAACTATTTAAAAAATTATGGTTAAATAGTTATATAGAATATTTTTTAATCTAAATTTATATAAGGTAAACATCAATATTTTAAAGACAATCATTTAGATAACGTGATAACACCACCACTACCACCACCACCACCACCAACAAGAACAACAACAACAAGAACAATAACAATAACAACAACAACAACAACAACAACAACAACAACAATAATAATAATAATAATAATAATAGTAATAATAATAATAATTTATATCAACAAGAATCAGAATGAGAATAATTTAAAACCACACATAAAATTTTTTTAGAAACTTTTTTTAGATTTTGCAATTTATTCTAGTTTTTTCAGTTTCTTTTAATTTTTTTTAGTTTTTCCAGTTTCTTCCAGTTCCTTCCAGTTCTTCCAGTTCCTTCCAGTTTTTTCTAATTCCTTCCAGTTTCTTTCAACATCCAGCTCTTTTTTTCCAGTCCTAAAGAACAGGCCCTTAGATTAAAGAATGTATCCTAAAATTACATCAAAGATATACAATAACACAAAAATGCTAGTGGGATTAATGAAATTTGCACTAATATTTCATGCATGTGTAAATAGTCACCTTAGCATCACACTGAATGAAATGAAGGTGCACACCTGTAGTGTACAATTTGGAGTATAAAGTTTGGGGTACAAATAACTTAATCTTTTTATTTTTTTTCTTTTGGGCCATGTTAAGATTTACTCCTTCCATCCAAAAAGGAATGTCACAGTTACTACTTTAGCATCTCGATAACTTTTATTTGTTCACACATTTTAGTTAATCATTTGATAAACTAACATATTCTTTTCGCATCTTATTTTGTAAAATTTTTTATTTAGTTTTGAATGGTGTAATTTTTACTTTATATTTATCTACCAATTTGCAAATAAAATAATTTTAAAAGAGATATTTAACACATCGTTCGAAATGTTGTAAACAATTTGGAAATGGAAGGGTATTCTTTTACTTTTTCATTTTCGACTTAGTGGGGTGTATTCAGAATGGAATCTCTAAGATTTTTTTGGATTTTAAAAGTCTATGATATTCATTTGAGATTTTAAAAAATCTTTTAAAATTTTGATGTATTCAATTAAGATTTTAAAATATACCACTAAATCTAAGGATATTCAAAATTCTGTGGATTTTTAAAGAGTTCTATTAAGGATGGATTGTGAAAGATTCTATAGGCTCTAGTGTAAATAAAAATGCATCCCCAAATTTCTTCATAAACACAGGGATTTTGAGGGAGACAAAAATATCCACGCTAGTTCATCTTCCGTAACTATACATCTTTCGTTTTCATCTTCCGGAAACACACATCCAGTATCTTCGGGTTCCGACCATATTTACAGAAGTGCCTGGCCTGGGCTGCAACTTGGTGTTTGCAGTATGAAAACCTTGGGCAAATTGGAGCACCTTCAAGCCCTTCGAGGCTGGATTTCTAGTAAATCAGATGCATTATCATTCGCCTAATAATTAGAGTAATTGCCACTCCGTTATTGGACTTCTCAATCAAGACAATTGAATGTGAAATTCTGCAGATTTCTTATATAAACGTGTTCGATACATTATTTTTGTTACACTTTTCTATCAAATTATAATTACTTTATTTTTATTGTGTTTTAATTATTTATTTTATATTTTGTAACTAGTTATTGATATTGGAACAATCTATAGAGATTTAAAATCTAAACAAATCTTGATAAAAATACATTATAATCTTTTCAAGTCTACGTAGAATTAATAAAATCCTTGATTTTGCACAATCCATGGATTATAAAAATTCTTACAAAATCTGAATTGAATATACTCTCCTTAATTTATGGTCAATGTTTGTTAGTTTCAATTGTAAAAAAATTAAACTTGGACAAACATTTTGAACGAAGGTAGTAATTAACTAATTCGTCTGAAATAGAAGTAAAACGTAACATTTATCTCCAAAACAAGAGTTCCATTTTTTATCATCAAAATAGGGGTTCACACTGTAACATTATGACACTATATAGTGACATTTCACTATTTTTTTATATTACGTATTGACATTATTAATATTGTACTCCTGTTTTGGTGTTTTCTACGTGGCATACTTCCAATTTAGTCATTTTCCCTAGTAATTAACAATGATTGGTTTTAAAAATATGAGAACACATCTTTTCCCAAACTTGAGTTTAAATTAAATGAAATTTTTACGAGTAACATTTTGTCATAGTTTAGACAAACTTTAATTATAAATTCTGAAAAAAATATATTTAATTGTAATATTATTTTAATACAATTGAATTTTGTTTTAAGGTGTAGTTTTGATTTATAATTTTTATTTATTAGAAATTATATTTAACTTATGATCAAAGTTAACATCAAAGTAATTGACTTTAGATAGTAAAAAAATGTTTAATTTACTCATATGTAGGTACATAGTGGACTTTAAGTCATTATTGAATTTGCTCTTGATGGACTTCATAAACTCAACATAAAAAACCTCAAAGACTTCTTTATCATTAACTCTTTCCAATATTGAGTGCATATATCATACATCTAGACTTACGATATTTTACATACATCTGCATGAATATTAATTGTCGAATAATTGAATACTCATTTTTGAGTTACAAAATACTCATTTCTGAGTAATTTATGTTCATTTTCGAGCATGATTAATTTTTAGAGAAATGAGTACTCAATTATTTGAAAATGAGTACTCACTTGTTTGAAAATGAATATTCAGTGACTCGTAAATGTGTACTCTCCGCAGATGTACGGAAAAAACTATACATCAGTTGTACTGCATTCAATATTTTTCTCAACTTCTTTCAATTTTTCTATTTTTTAAGCTCTTATTTTTCAACTCATTTTAATTTCTCTAACCCCTTCAAGCTTTTTGACTTTTTTTTTTCCAATTGTTGTTTTCCATTTTTCAAACAGCTTTGTTTCTTCAACATCCCAAAACCTAGTGGGTTCTGGGCGCTCAGCGTCTCTTCTGGCGGGAAGAAAAGCACCACACTCACTTCGGAGTTTGGACTCCCCATTGTCATCAGGTTATGCTAAAAGCGGCCACTCCATTCAGCAGGACAGAGCTCCCAGAAACCGGCGAGACCATGTCCCGGTTAACAGTAAAAAACGCCGTCGTTTCAGCCTATCGCTGGCGGCGTCTGTCCAACTCTCTCCTGCGGCCTCTCCACCGCCGTCGCTGCCCGCCTTCCTCCCCGCTTTACCCTATGTAAGTCTTCCCCTGTTCTTGCGTTCATTATTTCTATTGTTTTTTTTTTTGAAGAATATCCATCCGGGGTTGTTCGAAAATGCGATGCAAATAGAACATGTTTCTTACATTAGAAATCTTGTGTATGTTTGCTGTCTTTGTTTTGATGGACCGGATTTTCTTGAATATAATGGTCTATACTTTGGATGTATTTGTGTTAATTGTGTACCAGGCAAGGGTTTTCAAAAGCATTTTTAGTGAGTAAAATGTGTACTCACTTGCATTTTGCCAGAAAAACTGGTTGACAAATTTCATCGGCTCGGAATACTCATTTGGAGGCGAAGAATTGTATTGTGACTAAATGTTTTTCTTTGGTGATATGGAAGGATGTGATGTGCACAAAGGGAGAGGTTACTAAAGGAGAAAGAGGGGTGTGATTATAAAGGAGGAAATGAGATGGAACCAAACTCTGTTACGATGCAACATGTTTAGGCAAAGGATAGGAAGTTATTGAATTAAAAAGGAATATGATTTTTTCCCCTATGAGATTAAATTATGGGCAATGGAGCTGAAAAAGTCATTTTTGGCAATGATTTAGTTCCGAGTAAATACTGGATTAGATCTAAATGGCAAATTAAACTTCTCTTACTTATTTCTACCAAAATTTGAGTAGTAAATGCATGAGTGTCTAAGTGAATCAACCTCTCTCTAGGGTAAGTTTGCGTACATCTCGAACCCCAAACTCCAACAGAGATGGGAGATTATAATAGGTCTATTGTTATACTCCCATGCGGAGAGTAAAGTACAATTTTGTTTTCTTTACTTCCATTTTTTCTCGTATGCACTATTAAGGCAGTGGAAGGGAATAACATAACAATTTATGATCATTTTTAGTAGCAGACCTCTCTATACTTTCATTTGCCTCTAATCTGTAGAGATAATATTCGAAAGAAATGAGAGGGTTGGATGTCTCCACCCATTAACCTACTCCTTCATTTACTTATTGACCAAACAAAAGAAATGCTTAGTATGTTTCTTCAGGTAATATTCCCTTTCCATGTGAACATACTGTAAGAGGTATACTATTTGTATGTGCAAAAGAAAACTGAAATGTATTGTGCCTGTGATTTTAATTTTTTTTTGTTTTTTTTTTGTTGAGAATTTTAAAAAGCTCCACCATTACATTGAAATTTACGGAGTATATACGATTGTGTATCTTTGCGATAACTGAAAATTGAAGAGTCTATGTAATCTTTTGTGTAATTTATGTCATTTTAATAAATGTTAGTATTTGACATTTATTCATCTTGTGGCGCAAAACATGGGTGATACATTTCAAGCTGTAATTTTCTCTAGCATTCGGCGGTTTGACCAGATTCGTTGCATCAATGAGCGAAAGCTTCATGCGAAGTCCACAATAGAAACCATGCACATAGAGACTAAACCAGAAGAAAAGAACTATTCTCATATTATGTGGTGGAAGGAGGTGGGCTACATGCTTCATTAACTGTTTGTCCTTTCTGTCTCTCACACACGACACTCATACTATTAATGTTGCATGTATTCATATCCATGTTATAAAATTTCAGATGGTGGAGAGGTCGAAAAAGCCTTCTTCTATTAACCTAGTTAAGAGGCTCACATATTCTAATCTATTGGGTGTAAATTCAGAATTAAGGAATGGGAGGTGGGTTTCTAATTTTTGGTGTCTACATTACCCTTTCATCCCGGCCCCCCTTTTACATTTATTATTGTTTAATCATGATGTTGTTCGCTCATCTTATTGCTATAGAAAATTGGAAAGATTGAGAGATCAGAGTTCAACTAAATTTTAACTAAGAAGTTTCCTGTTTACTTTAGTTTGAAAGAAGGAACACTTATTTGGGAGATGTTGAAGTTCAAGTCTAGATTTCCTCGCGAGGTTTTGCTGTGCAGAGTAAGTATATAAGGCTTCTCCTTTTACACCTTTTTATGTCTAGGGTGGTTTTAAGTTCCAATTGAATTCATCTATCAGATGGCACTTATTAAGAGTTCATGCCTTTTTGTATGTCCCAGGTTGGTGAGTTCTATGAGGCCGTAGGTTTTGATGCTTGTATACTTGTGGAGTATGCTGGTTTAAATCCATGTGGCGGTCTTCGTTCAGACAGCATACCAAAAGCTGGTTGTCCGGTTATGGTACTGTAATATTTGTTGTTCATACACACTCATGTTGTTCTTTTGCCCTATTTAAAAGTCATTATATATATATGTGTGTGTGTGTGTGTGTATATATATATATATATTGCAACAACAAACCCAATATAATCCCAACTCTGTTGGGGTCAGGCATCGGGGTCAAGAAACAAAAATAAGTTACAACATATCGTATGAATGAAGAAATAAGAAGTTTAGAACCATGGAGTGTCTTGTTGCCCTACTACAATCAAAAGCAACTAAAAGTATCCAGTAGAGTCTCTATTGTCCATACATACTCCTTTTCAATGTATTATTATTACTGTTTATTATTATTATTATTATTATTATTATTATTGTTGTTGTTGTTGTTGTTATTATTGCATTTCCCATTGATTGCTACTGTAACTTTATGTGAACTTTCTCAAATTTATACTTTTTTTCTTCATATGTTTCACATATTTTTTCTACAGAATCTAAGACAGACTTTGGATGGTCTGACAAGCAATGGATTTTCAGTTGTAAGTATCATAGCTTTAGGCATACTACTTTATGAGACTGCATTTTAATGCTATGTTATGATGATGCATTTTCTTTTTTAATTGCTTTCACATTACTTAAGCACAGTGCATTGTGGAGGAAGTTCAAGGTCCAACTCAAGCTCGTTCTCGTAAAAGTCGCTTTATATCTGGGTAATTGTTAAATTGCAGTTTCTTTCATGTCCTACTTGCAGTTTGTAATCCTTCTATATATGTTTGTAGTTTTCTTTCCAATGTGGTCTCTGATTAAACAAGTTGGCTGAGTGAAGGAAGAATGTCTATTTTCTCACCCTAGTCTTGATTTGCAATCACAATAAATTACTGTATTTAGTCTGCTCTTTTGTTATTTGATTTCTGTCAAATGCATTTGGTTTGCAAATCACTTAGTTGGTTTACATTTATCACGATATCCAGTTGGAAGTTAAGAAAAAAAGAAGGGAAAAGGACTAAAACTAGGAGTAAAACATGGAGAAAGTACCAAAATTGGATCTGGAGCTCCATGTTTTTTATCCTAAAAATAAGAGTACATTGCCAATAATGCCAATATATAGTATCAAAAAATACAGTGGGTGCCACTATACCGTGTCATAATGTCACAGTGCAAACTCCTATTTTGGGGATAAAAGCATGAAGCTCCTATTTTGAGGATAAATGTTATGTTTTACTCCTATTTGGGGTGATTTATTAAAAAAGAACTGTTGTTCTAGGGTTACGGAGTTTGTCTAAAACCCTTTGAGTTGCTCTTCAAAAAGTTGGGAATTTCTTCAAAAAGCTCCAACCTTCTTATTCTATTTACCCGTGACACAACAAAACACATACTCCCTCCATTCTAGTATATTATCCAGTTTGATTTTTTTTCAATCAAACTTGACTAATTTTAGACCATCAATTAAATAAAAATTTAATTTCATAATAACACAAAATCATTTTATTTAATTGTCATGGAAACAATTTTTACAAAATTCTTGTAATGCAATGTTTTTAAATTTGATATGTTAGATAAACACGGTCAAATGTTCACTTAGGGGACCATGAAAATTCCAATTCGATGAATGTATTTGGGACAAAGGCAATATTTCTTCCAGACTAGTAAAAGACATGTACCTACACAATATCCCCATACAACAACATACCCATTAAAATTTCACAAAGTAGGGTCTAAGGAGGGTGGATGTACGCAAACATTACCCCTACCCATAAAGTAAAGATGTTGTTTTCAAGAGATCCTCAGCTTAAAACACAACACAAGACAACCCATAAAGAACAAGTCAACAAGTAAAGGGAAAAAAGTAGAGAAAGAGAGATGCAAAAAAAAAAAAAAAGAACCAAACACACACCCAATTGCATCCAGCTAGAGCAACAAGTCATACACATGAAAAGACCACTCTCACCAAGGTCTAACCTATCGCCCTAATCTTTGACCTCCAAGTGCTCCCATATGTGATATCCCCCCAGTTTTTGAAACTTTGACTTTGGTTTAAGGGTCTAGGCATTGTAAATACATACAAATCAATTGGCATTCTCTATGCCGTACAAGGAATATTTACATAGTTTGTCACCACTTTGACCTTGTACTCTTTCACATATACTCTATATGCCCCCCCCCCCCCCCATTTTTTAAATGTCAAATAGGTTAAAGCTTTTGCACTACGGTTGGTATACTAGCCAAAAGTACAAAAAGTCAAGAATGATGGAGGGGAGGATTACAATATTAAATGAAAATTGTTCTCATAGTTCCATTCACACGCAAAATTGCACATCACACGCGGGGAATGGGAGAAGCGATGGATGCTTTGCAACATTTCACGTGGGGCCTAAGACCTTGTGGTCGAGCGGCGTAATTGTGCCTAGGTCACATGTTCAAACCCCAATATGGGTATTGATTCTTTGTGCTTCANGGGGGGGGGGGGGGGGGGCGTTATGATGACATATGTCATAGCATGACATTGTCCCCTACGATGCGCTGATGAAAAATTTGATGGTTCATATCCCTTCTAAAACCGGGAACCCCCCAGGAGCGCACCTTGCATCCCATCCAATTGCACTCCCAAAGTTTGTTTACTTTGGAGTCAAAAGTTGACTTCAGAACCAACAAATGTTGGGTTGGAGGGGGTGCGATGTGGTGGGGCCTAGGGGGTTTACAAGTGGGGCTAGGGGGGTAGGAACCATTAATTTTTCGATCGGAGCACCATAGGTGGCCTAATTTGGCCGGTGTCATATTGTGGCACCAAGCCTTGGTGTCATTTTAACCAAGGTCTAGAGTTAATAGTACTAAAGAAAGTTTTACACTGGCTGGCTAGCTGCTTTCTACTATTCATTTTTACTTTCCGATATACATCTCACTTGATAAATCTTGATGATTTAGGCATGCACATCCTGGTAATCCTTATGTATTTGGACTTGTTGGAGATGACCATGATCTTGATTTTCCAGAGCCAATGCCAGTAGTTGGTATGCTAAAATATCCACTTTAATTTGCTGCTACTTTGGTCTCTTCCATCTTTTTTTAGTGTTATTTTGTAATGATTCTAGTTGTACTTGCATTTTTGTTGCCATTTTTAGAGTTTGGACTGATCATACTCAGGCTTAATCTTGTGGTCCCAGGATTATCTCGTTCAGCTAAGGGGTATTGCATCATATCTGTTCTGGAAACTACAAAGACGTACTCCACTGAGGATGGGCTGACCGAGGAAGCATTAGTTACTAAGCTTCGAACTACTTTGTCTCATCATTTATTTTTGCATACTTCATTGAAATATAATTCAGCAGGTTAGCAATGTCACTCTCTTATTTTTCCTTCTTTTCATTTTTCCCCATTGGAGTTGAAACGAATTAGGGCCCATGATACATTCTATCTTCATCATTGTATAGCCATTGAATTGCTAGAAGCCTACAATTTTTTGTTTGCTATGTGGTTCAGTGATTTTTATTTTTTTTCTAATTCTAAGGGTATTTAAGCAGAGCATTAATGTTACCATGGAGTAACCATTCCAAAACAAGTGTTACAGAACTAGGGGTGGGTTTGCAGTGGACTAAAATTATCTGGAATGTTAGTTTAAGGATGTACCAGCAATTACATTGACTGGTGTTGTGTGATATTCAAATTCATAATATTCTCTGGCATAGTACGTAGTTGTATTTCACAAGTTTGGTCCATCTATGCCAATTATTTTGTTCAATATTTCACCATGCTGGAAGTTCCTCTCTTTGCATTTGAGATTTTCTTGCAGGAACTTCTCGCTGGGGGGAGTTTGGTGATGGTGGGCTGCTGTGGGGAGAATGTAGTGCAAGAAACTATGAGTGGTTGGACGGTGATCCAACTAATGCGCTCTTGTCTAAGGTCAGTATTGAATGGTTGTTTGCTCTTTTCTTATGCCTGTCATGTCCACCTTTTGTACATGTAACAACTAAGCCTTATCCCTAGTAACTTGGGTCCATCTTTCAGGTTAAAGAAATTTATGGTCTTGATTGTGATGCCACTTTTAGAAATGCTACCGTTGCATCTGAAAATAGACCACGCCCTTTGCTCTTAGGAACTGCTACACAGATAGGTAAAATTCAAGCTCTAGATGATACAAAGTGCTAGTTTTTAATATAAGCGAATGCATTATCGTTTACTCTTAAAACAACTTTGATGAATCATATGAATAGGTGCAATACCGACAGAAGGAATTCCTTCTTTGCTAAAGGTGTTGCTTCCGCCACATTGCACAGGTCTACCTGTTCTGTAAGTGGGAAATATATTCTAGCTCATATTTTATGCTATCCTACCTTGCCGGTCAGCTAAGTTCTACTAACTTATGATTACCCTAAAGATGTAAGCAAACTTCCCACATACTTGGAATGAAACAGTATTGAAAATTGTTTGGATGATATCTTTAGAAAGTATCCCCACCTCCACCCCACACAAAAAAAGGAGGGGGCTGCAGTGTGTTATACAGATTAAAAATTTAGTATGTCTAAATCTGAATATTTGATATCTCTGAAAGGCTAATCATGGAGATAATACAAACATTTGATAACAAATGTTTGATAACAATGATACCTAATTTCAAAACTATTACAGGGTAATACTAATAAGAGTAAATTCCCAGAATGGTCCTTTCTAATGTGGTGTTTTTCCAAATTAATCTTCAATAAGTTCTAATTACTTATGTGAGGGACTTTATAATTGAGATTTATTCCATAAGTAGTCCTTGGTAAAAACTGTCACTTTAATGGTGATTAATTGGAGGGCATTTTGGTATTTCCATTATCTAAACTTAAAGTAAATTCTCAAAATGGTCATTTCTATACAATTTCATGTAAAATTAATACAATCAATGGCTATACAAAATCCATGAATTATTTAAAATCTGTCAAAATATTTTAAAATTTGAATCTAATACACCTCCTTAATTAGAAAAGACCATTTTGATTATAAAAAAAAAGAAAAAGAAAAAAGAAAAAAGAAAAGACCATTTTGAAAAAAACACTTCATTAGAAATGATCATTCTGAGAACTAATGCTAAGTTTAGATGATGAAAAATATCAAAATACCCTCCACTTAATCGACATCTAAGAAACATATTCTACGGAGTACTATCTAGGGAATAAATCTCAATTATAAAGTACGACGTAGGTAATTAGAACTTATTGAGAACTGGTTTTGGAATAGAAGTCTAATGCACTGTGGAGTCCTGCTAGAGTTCTAGGCTTCCCTGCTTTAATTTTTCACAAATGCGTCCACATCAGTTCATGATATTCTACTTTTGTCCGATACACATTTGATTTTTGCATTTGTTGTGTGTGTTTGTTCTTTGTTCTCATATATGACGTAGTGAAATGACAAATTGTTATCCTTGGTTTTGTTATTTATACCTACCAGGTACATAAGAAATCTCCTTCTGAATCCACCTGCATATGAGATTGCGTCTAAAATCCAAGGTACTGCCTGAATTTCTAAACTTGATCTCTTTGATCTGGATTGTCTGGAGGCTTTAGATCATCGATGCCATCATTTTGCAGAGAGGCTTTTTCAGAAAGACCTTGGTTGCTAGTGTTTGATAATAACGGTAATACAAAAACAACAAACGTATTATATTCCCAGCTCTGGTAGGGTTTGGCGGTTTAGATGTACACAACCTTATTCCTATAAAAACCAGAGAGGATGTTTATGTTTTACTGCCCAAAGCTTCATTAAAAGCAAGAGGCAAGGAATTTGATGCACCATTTTCATTTAATCCATTTTAACAACAAAGTAGTCCCTCTGTCCCGGTGTATTTGTCCACATAGAGTTTGGCACATGGACCAAGGAGAAAGAAAAAAGAGAAGTGATCATTATGCCCTTTTATTTTTTGGGTAGGGGAATTAGAGTATTAGGTCGGTGCAAATAAGTCAATGTGACTTTATTCCTTTTCCTTAAATGGAAAGTGGACAATTACATTGAGATGGTCCGTCTAAAAAGGAATACTAGACAAATACTTTGGGGCATAAGGAATAATAACAACCGTAACAGTAGTAATAATGATGATGTCACAAATACTTTGGGACTAAGGAATAATAACAACCGTAACAATAGTAATCATGATGATTTTGGTAGAGTGTGTTTTTTCTTGAAGCATTACTGGTATCTGGACTCTTTTTTCTTTTGATAGGATTCCGCGTTTTACTTTTTTTCAATGAGGGTTGGATATATTCTCGGTAGTAATGTTGGATTTGCTTTTGCAGAAGCATGCCGACTTATGATGGATGTAACTTCTTCTGTTCCGGAATATACTTGTCTCTCATCCTCAAAGGTTGTCCTTCATTAATATCAATTGCTACTACTAAAATTCCCCCATTCAATTTATTTTAGTTTTTGGCTTCTCAGCACTGCATTTTAAATGCCTTCTTGGCAAAGATATTAATTTTTATATCAAGCCATGGCTGCCCTCATTTTGCACATGTCATAGTTGACTACTTTGGCTTAAATTTCCTTTCAAGTTATTCATTTATTCTGTTTTAATTACTTTGTTGAACTGTAGATCAACTACAGGAGCATTTTCAAGAATAGAAAAGCATTTCTTTTATAATAGAATATGATGGCATAAACCTCCCTTTTGTGATAGAAATAAAATTTGATATGTTTAGACTGTCATTGTGGAATATCACTTCTCATGATTAAATCAATCAATAGAGAAAGTAAAGGCTATGTAACAAGCTTTAAATTTCCAATTATCATTAGTTGATTCCCAAGTAGCATTGATTGATTTTGTATTTGAATTTTGATTTATCTTTCCTTTTAGAAGAGTTTTTCCTTACGTAAGCTACCTTGTTGATTTCTGTGTAAAGGAGGTTCCTCTTATGAATAAAAATCAACGAGAAGGAAAACTCCCTAATTTCCAGAGGAAAGAACTCATACAAGTTCTATTTCCTTTTGTTTTATCATCTTAATTTATTCTTGTGATGCCTAAAATCCCAGTTCATAACAAAATATCAATTAAATGTGACATTTCAGTGCTTGCTATAATGCCATGTAATTGCTCAAAAGATATTAGGTCAAATCATAATTAAAGTAGTATGCGGTTACTGTTGTCTTAGAACTTACAAACATGCAAAACATTGATTATTAATGGAATAAGAAAACATTTATGGCACATGTAAAATCATGTTAGGAAGGATGGCACAAGATAAACCACATGTAGCAAGTTTTTACTCCATTTTTTGGGAGTTGGGACATAGAGCTTTTGTATTTTAGTGTATTTTATACAAAAGCATTACATGCTCTAACATTGGTAAGAGGACCGTTTTGAATGTCAATCTACATGTAGTGTATTTTATTTGAAGAGCTATAGTTGATCCTCCGGCATTGGTTATAAACTACTCTATATTTATTTTATATCGCACTAAACATCCAGTGTCGGTGAAATATTTGTGTAAATAAGCCTAGATAAATGAGGGTTAAACTCTCAAATAATAAACTAATGTCACTATTGTGCGTTATGCAGAGGCATCTCTTCTCGTTTTCTCGGCACATCACTCCTAAGCAAATGGTTTCTAACAGTCTACGATCATTCATAGGGTTCAGATTAGTATTACTAGTAATACTTGTTGTTCTAGTGTTTTCTCTTTCAAAATTAGTACTCCACAGTCCTCATTGTAATCCTCTTCTTTACCTTTTTTTTTCAAAAAGCCAAAATGGTATTTAAGAGTTCTTATTGGTATGTTATTTATCTTCTCTATTTTGCAGCTTGCCAAGTTGCTCACATTGAGGGAAGCAAATCACATAGAATTTTGCAGAATGAAGACGATGCTGGATGACATACTGCAAATGTATAGAGATAATGAGCTTGTTCACATTCTACATTTGTTGATAGATCCTACTTGGTTGGCAACTGGGTTAAAAGTTGACATTGATTTGCTGGTGAGGATTGCGGTTTTTTCATTTTTCCCCTTACACTCCAAGTTAGCTGCAAGATTTAGCGAAATGGGACAGACCACTAAACTGCCACCCCCACACCCGACAGCAGTAATACAACAAATCCTGGATATTCTCAACTCCGTTGGGTTTCTTTCTTTGTGTGTGGTGGGGGGGGGGGGGGCTGTCAAGATGTACACAACCTTATGCCTCTAAAAAAATGAGGCTATTTCCGTGAGATCCCCATGCCATCTCCTAAAAAAGAATAAATAAATGTAAAGGAAGCCAAGAGCAATACGAAATTACAAATACTTGTTCGGATGGTTTTGGAACTGCTTAGATGATGTTTAGCTCTTGTAACTTGCAGTGTGATGCTTAGATTACACTAGTCTTTATATTTTCAAATCTACAAACAATGTACTTTTTCTTTCATATCAATTGGTTTAGTACTCCATATATAGTTAGGACTCAATGTTTCCCCCCTTCTTTTTCACAAGTACAATCAAAATCTATCTTGTTGAAGTCAATGTTTACTTGATATTTCAGATATCTTATTCTCAAGTAACTTCTCTTCATGTAATTTTTTTCATTTCTGTTGGTTTGTCTATGCTCTGTGTTCCGGTGATGAATATTCCCTATGCTGCCTTAGATATGATTTTGTGTGTGTGTGTGTGTGTTATTCTTAAGCAAGCTACTATAGTTCATATCTCTCTAGAATCTTTCATTTGTTTCTTACAGGTAAATGAATGTGAGAATGTCTCTAGTACAATTGGTGAACTGATTTTTCTTGAAGGAGAAAATGATCAGAAAACAAGTTTCTCCTCTATTATTCCTAAAGATTTTTTTGAAGACGTGGAGTCTTCATGGAAAGGTCGTGTCAAGAGGGTTCATTTGGAAGAAGCATATGCAGAAGTTGAGAATGCAGCAAATGCCTTAGAATTGGCTGTAAGTTCTTCACACTCTTTCGGATAGGTTAAATTTTTATCTTCTCTTATGTGAACCAAGTCTCTGTCTCTCTCTCTCTCTCAGAAATTATTGACTTCGCTTCTTGTATTGATGTGATTGTAACTGAACAACTTTTGTTTTTGTGCCTGGGCCAAACTAACCAGTATTCTTTAATTTTTCTTTGATAAGTGCTAATAAGCTATACCAACTCTTCTATATGAATCATCTTATTGCACATTATCTTATTTCTCTTTTATTGCTACTATCTAAAAGTATTACACACTTTATGACTTTTATGTATTACCTAAACACCCCACTTGTGGGACCTTGTTGAGTTGTTGTTGTGTATGTATTGCTTTTTATTTTTTAAACTGTAACTATTAATCATAAAAAAATAGACACAATATGACTCTTTGTAATTATTAAAATTTAAAAGTATGACACACACAATAACAATTTATATTTAAAATTGCCCTCTTTACATTTCCCGTTGCCATGTCTTTGTATAGCATTTGCATATTTTGATATTTAAGTTGCACTTGAAATTTTGTACACACTTTCCATTACTTTTGTGTGGATTATACAAAACCCTGTTTAGTAAGATGGCTCAAGATCCAAGTATTCATAATGAGCATATGTCAAGTGATAGGTAACAAATGATTAAGCAGGAGAGGCATCTAACTTGATGAAGTTGAATTTTCAATGAGTTATTAGGTTAAGAAAGATTTCCTTCCTATTATTTCGATAGTAAAGGCCACTAGTACTCCATTTGGAGGGCCTAAGGGGGAGATTTTGTATGCTCGAGAGCATCAGGCAGTATGGTTCAAGGGGAAGCGTTTTATGCCTTCTGTTTTGTCTGGGGCCCCTGGAGAAAATCACATTAAACAGCTTAAACCTGCTGTGGACTCAAAGGGAAAGAAGGTTGGAGAGGAATGGTTTACCACAATGAATGTGGAGAAAGCATTAACAAGGCAGGTTTTTCAGATGCAATAAAGATCTGCACTATTTTCCCACTGTAAATGCCTTTCTTCCTATAAGTTTTGAATGTCAGATAATGTTTCAGGTATCATGAGGCTAATGCTAAGGCCAAGCTTGAGGTACTGGAATTGCTCAGAGGGCTTTCTTCTGTGTTACAAACTAAGATCAACATCGTTGTCTTTGCGTCCATGCTGGTTATTATTGCAAAGGCCTTGTTTGGTCACGTGAGGTTGGTAAACTTCCTTACCCGAGCAGCATTTTGCTCACCCCATACCTTTTCTCATTGGTTACACATTTAGCATAGGCCCAGAATGATATGTACTAATATACCCACTTCCTATGTTAAGTTACGAGAATTTTGTATGCCACTTTTGCTGGAAGGAAGTCAAGGAATTATTTATTGGGAGGCATGCTACCTAAATCTTTTTAAGACCTAGGATTGAATACATACATGCTGAATTAGAGCTTATGATATGCATGCTCTTACTTGGGGGGTACATTTGGTCGCACCTAGTTGGGATTTGGAAAGAGTAGCAATGTGGTCGTCCAGACTCAAGACAGAGCTGGGAGTCGATCACTGACAAAAGGGAAAAATTGCTGTGATTTGGTAACATCTATTAGAGAGATGCACCATCACCAGTGAGAAGGGCAACAAGCATTTCAGTTGAGGAGATGAGGAGACCGTACCACTGCGCGTGAGAAGCAGTTGAAACTAGACATGTAGACCTTAAATCTCTCTCCAGACATGATCTCAGATGTAGATTACAGGACACATCAGATTAGGTTAGTAGATTCCCTATAGGGTTTGAGAACGGCCGCCTTGTGGTCAATGACACGTTATGTTGGAGTTAGCTTGCTATTTGCCTTCTTGCTCTTTTACTTTCACAGTTACCTGATTATTTACTTTTTCCCTCATCTTTACTTTTTTTAGTTGTAATTTTGTTGCATTTATCTTCTCTCATTTTTTCATACTCTTCACACCCCAAAGCCTACGTTCAAGTGGGATATGCTGGGCATGTTCAGTTGATTGATTCATGTGTCCAATTTTGTTATCTTTATTTTTTATTCAGTGAAGGGAGGAGAAGGAAATGGATTTTCCCAACCCTTCGAGGGTCCAAGGTACTTGCTTTTGCACCTTATCTTGAATTTGAGTTGTGCGGTAATGTAGATTTGAAACTCCAAAAATGTTAGGAAAAAATGGTAATGGATCTCATTTTATGTATTCTTGGAATGTTGCTTAACACTTGTATGGTGTAAGTAATTTTTCAGCATATAATAAAACTACTATGGAGTGGTAAAACTTTCATGACTCATCATGTGTTTTAGCCTGAATAAAGATTTTGTCATTGTGAATGTAGGACTGCAAGCCGCCTCGTGGGTTAAATATGATGAAGTTATCTGGTTTATCCCCTTATTGGTTTGATGTAGTGCAAGGTAGTGCTGTACAAAATACCGTTGATATGCAATCACTATTTCTGTTAACCGGGCCCAATGGAGGTGGAAAATCAAGTTTGCTACGATCAATTTGTGCTGCTGCACTGCTAGGGAACTGTGGATTCATGGTTCCAGCTGAATCAGCTATCATTCCTCATTTTGATTCAATTATGTTACACATGAAATCTTATGATAGCCCTGCTGATGGAAAAAGTTCATTCCAGGTGCAGTATCTTCTCCACGTGATTTCTCGTATAGCAATCATGTTTTACTCTTGATCTTTGTAAGTGCGGAAACAGGAAATGGAAAGCAAGATGTGGCAAAACAGAATTATAAAAATATAGTTCTAGAAGAGACATAGGGGTATAAGTGCAATTTTTTCTGAGGAATGCATAATACTTCGGGGTATTAGTTACTAGCTTGCTTTCTACTCAATTAAAGTGATAAGGACTCCGTTACGGAGTACATTGATACCAAAGATCTCATCTAAAATAAGAAATACAATGCTCAAAAGTACTTTTGGTTGTTGCTAAATCCGCTCCTCATTTGGCTATACCCACCCCTTTTTATATGAAATCGACAAGTTTACCCTTAATGTTTAAAATAAGAGAGAACGAAGTGAAAGATAAAGTTGTCAATTTCTTATAAATGGGGTGAATTTAGCAATATGAGGGGTGGATTTAGCCCCACCTTTTTTTATACTCGTATTAAAATATGAATATTTTGGTTGATGTAAACTACTCTGAAGTCTGGAGTTTGTTTTTTTGTCTGCAATTCGGTCCTAAGAAATGTTTGTCTAACAAATATTATTGTGAAAGACCTAAATTTATAGAAACTTGTCTCAAAATGTTGATTATGAAAATTGGTCACAAGATCTTCAGAGAGAGTTTCAGTTTCCAAGACGTGGTAACATTGGTGGTCTTTGCAATGGAAAATATGGTGCCTTTTAGCCTTTTAGGTAGTTTTTTATGTATTTGGTGTTTGGCAATGGAAAAAAATTGCTCAAAGAAACACTATACCACCTACGCGCGATCTGCCCAATGCAAGTCACTACTCGTTTAAACTTTTGCTTAAATTCGGCAGCTTTTACATCTTTGTCCTTACTAACATTTTACTTTAATCATATAATCAATTTTTTATCCACAGGGGAAAGTGAAAACTTAACCTCTCAATAGTTAAGTGCATCATCCCTCATGAACAGTTGAGCACATAACAGAATTATATGGACCATTACTTATTTCTCCTTCTTTTCTTATGGAGTAGCTTTGTTTTGTTGAACAATCATATACTTCAATATCTCAGTCCCAAGTGTTATTTTGCATTGATGAATCAGATTGAAATGTCCGAAATCCGTTCCCTTATTAATGGTTGCACCTCAAGAAGCCTAGTACTTATTGATGAAATATGCCGAGGAACAGAAACAGCAAAAGGAACATGCATTGCTGGCAGTATTATAGAAACTCTCGATGAAATTGGGTGTTTGGGCATTGTATCAACCCACTTGCATGGAATCTTTGATTTACCTTTGAAGTCCGAAAATACCATGTACAAAGCAATGGGATCCGATTATATTGATGGTCGAACTGTACCAACATGGAAGCTTGTAGATGGGATCTGCAGAGAAAGCCTTGCATTCGAAACTGCTCTGCGAGAAGGAATCCCTGAAAAGATAATCCATAGGGCTGAACAGTTATACCAGTCATATTACAATGGGCAGAGTTCTCCCTCTATGGATAGAGACCCAGAACAAAAAAAATCAAATCATAAACCTGATATGAACATGATTGATGAAAGGCCTGATAGATTCAATGGTTCTAGACAGAAATATACGACTTCTACGCCAAAATCCACGAACGTAACCAAAACCTGGTGCAAGGAGGATTTGGAAAAGTCCATTACCACTATTTGTCAGGAGAAGTTAATGAAACTCCACAAGATAAGAAACACGTCCGAGTCTTCTATTAAGTATTTTATGATTTCTGTGCGGGAGCAGCCTCCTCCATCAACCATTGGTACTTCAACAGTGTATGTGATGCTTAGACCAGACAATAAACTTTATGTTGGGCAGGTATGTTCTTTTATGTTTGATTGCTCTATTGGAACCACGAAGGTTGATTGCTTAACCTGTTTTTATGCCCAAAAAATGCTTTATAGCTTGGGACCAAATGAATCCCCATATTTAGAGGTTTGTATTATATGTGTTATTCACTCATCCTTTCTTTTTTCAGTACTCAGTAGTTGTTTTACACACTTTTTTCTGAGTTTGTCTTTGCTGTTATAAGTTACCAATGTAGCACAAGAGCTGCAATTGTATTATGCATTGCTTTTGACATAGCTTACCCATACTTGTTTTTTTCTTACATGTTGGCTTTTCTGAGAGAAAAGACATGGATATCCTTCTGTGTGCTTTTCAATATTACAAAGATACGTTAAGATTAAATGTAACCTGCTGATCGCATTTGCTGAACACAGAGTGACGATCTTGGGGGCAGAATCCGCTCTCATCGCGCGAACGAGGGAATGGAGAAGGCATGCTTCCTCTATTTCTGTGTCCCCGGAAAGAGTGTGGCTTGTGAACTGGAAACTCTTCTCATAAACCAACTCCCAAAACATGGGTATCAGCTGACTAATGTTTCTGATGGCAGGCACAGAAATTTCGGAACATCTGACCACTCCTTCGAAGCAGCCCCAGTGTTCAGATGACCTCTGCCACACCCATGCTTGGGACTTAGGGTCTAGTTTTTTGTATAATAGAATTGTTGTATTTTGGGAAAATTCTTGTAAGGTTTCACCATTATTGGGATAGTGGCTGCAGCAGTTTTGGTCAATTTAAGTTGCTCCACTCAGCATTCATATGAAGGAATGTTTTGTTGTATAAGCCAATGAGTTTTGCTTTGGGCATTAAAGCTCAAATCTTATTTGCCTCATAATAAAAGTCATGTTCTTAAGCTTACTTATGTTTTAAAAAGAGTCCAATTTTAAACTAAGCTATATTTGATATTTTCAATAGTTATATCTCACAAAAAGTTCTCTAAAAAAAGGTCAATTTATTGAGGAAGAGAAGCTGTTATTAGACACTTTTTTCATCCCAAGCTTATGGTATATAATATTTGAAAAGAGTTATATCGAATTTAAATCATTTAATTATTGAAGTAACATTAAAGAAAGAGTAATATAAAAATATGAGGAGACATGACAGTTGATAGTGAAAGTAAAATTTATTTAAGGACACTTTTGTTTGAAAGTTCATAAATATAATTGTGAATTGTAATGAGAAAGTGTTGTTTGTCAAATAAGTCTATTATGTGCAAGGGAAATAATATGTGGTTGATTTTTATTATCTTCAATATCTTAAATTGTTTTCTCTATGTAGCTTTTAAATCATTCCATTAATAATATTTAATGGATTTTGTTTTCAATTTCCTTTTTAAAAAAAATTTGTAAAATTAAAACGATAAAATTTCTATGTATATGTAAACGATTAAATAGCAAATTCCTTAACTATTTAAATGTTAACAACAACAACAACAACTCAGTTGATTCCTACTACAGTAGGGTCTGGGGACTATTAAAATGTTACTAAAAGTAATTAAATAAAATGGTTAAAAAATACTTCGTCATTTTTATTTTAATACTCTTTTTGCTTTAATTTAAGTTGCTCGTTTACTATTCTTGGGGTTAAACTTTAACTACATTTTAACCTGTTTTGGCTACTTATTTGATAAAATAATATATGGTCTGATCAACTCTTATTTTGTATTGGATACAAATTTTTATGTAGTTTCTAAATATATAAACTTTATATTTTAATTTAATACCAATTTTTAAAATAAAATAATTTAAAAATAATTTCAATCTAATTTCGTAAATAACAAACAATGGTTTAAATTGGAATGAATGAAGCAGTACACGAAAAAAACTAAAAGGGATGGAAAATGAAAAACAGCTTTTACTGTTTTCTCGTTTGAATATAAGCTATTACTCTATAAATACAGATATCAGAGCAATGTAACATCAAGTTGTGGTCGTGCCGGAGTGGTTATCGGGCATGACTAGAAATCATGTGGGCTTTGCCCGCGCAGGTTCGAATCCTGCCGACCACGGTCAATTTTTATTTTTAATTTCGAACCATATTTTATTTTATATAAATTGATTTCAAAATAACTTTAGTCAAGTATCATAACGCATAGTGAAGAGATAATCTTTGGATGTAGGGAGTATTAGATATTGATACAAAAATAATTTTATTAGATTTGTCTTACCGACCACGGCCCTAGAATTTTTGTTAAGATGCTACACATTTTTTTGCAATTAAGACTTACAACCTATACCCTACTGTATGACCTTAGGCGCTACCAACTCTTCTAAAATCAATTGGTATTAGAAGAGGCGCACACTCTAGCCTTATAGTGCATCTAACACACAAGAGCCCACGACATTCGACTGTGACTTGGCTCACATAGCCTCCGCCACTGGAGAATTGCTGCACACATGGCCAACAACTACTTCGTTCATCTTTAAATATTTGTTCATTTTTGACGTCTTCGTTCATTTTATAATATGTTTTCAAAATATTATCTCATTTGATTAACATACAATATATATTTCATTTTATTATAGGTCAAGAATAAAAAATATTTGACTGCAAAAAGTCAAAACTGAACAAATATATATTCAGAAACGAAAATAGTATGCATTACCATTTTAATACATTTTTCATTTATAATATTTTGAAAAGAAAAAAATGAAATATAATTACCACTTTCAAAGCATTATCCACATAGTACACTTCTAACACTTTCATTATGAAAGAAGATTCATATGAGCTTTCAAAGATTAATAGTGAAGTAAACATACATCAATTTTGGAAAGACACGAATAAAATTACTTGGCAAGAATTGTGCTTGGAAATCATATTTTGAATGGAGGGCTGAAGTATTTCTTTAATTGGATTGATTCGTAAATCGTAATCTTGAACCAATAATTGCCAATAACGAGCATTGGCTTGTGTAAATAAGATTATGATAATGTTGTAGTATTTTCGTACTCTATTTTTTCTCTAAATTGGTACTACATATAAAAAATGTATAGTACATACGAAAAGAGTTGGATTATCGAAAAACAATTTGCAGTACTAATCTAATTAATGCTCTCTTCTTAACAGATTTTTAATGTGTCTCTTAAATTTTTAAACTTTTAAACTTTAATTTATTTGATTTTAAGAAAAATAGAACCAATACTCCCTCCCAAGTGGTTTAGAAAATACTCCCTCCGTCCCAGAGTATTTGTCCACTTTCATTTTTACACACCATCTAATACACTTCTTTAATCTATTTTATCTTGCAATTTGTATATTAAAAAATTATAAAAATTATATATTAATAATCTATATGTTAAGACAAATCAAAAAAGATCACACATGACTATATTTAGGCTTACACATTGAGAGAATTTGATGAGTCAAAGTGCTTAGATGAACAGTTCCAAATTAAAAGTCAAAAGTGTACGAATATAGCGGGACGGAGGGAGTATTCACTAATACTTCATGTTTTTAAAACTTATTTCTAAATTCATATAAATGTTGTTTTAAAACTTTGCACGCATACTCTTTATGATCATTTCCAGCGAAGAAGAGGGCATTATTTAGTCAAACTATAGGGGCACTGGTGCTCATTTCTTATTTTTTGTTTCTCCCTTTGTTCCTTTATTATTTTTATTGCTAATCAAGGTTTTTTAAATTTTTTTTTGAAATTTTTTTATTATGTTGTTAAAAATATTTTATTTGAAAAAAATGATTAGCATATATTCCATCTGTACGTCTCAAATTGACCATTTTTATTTTTTGTTTTCCAAAATAAAAAAGCAAAAAAGTTTTTGGAGAACTTCAAAAATTGAAGAATAAAAGAAAATAAAAAAATAAAAAATGAATATCCTTTTTGGACATTGATACCAAAAATCAAGGAGAATATTCTAGGAAATGAGATATTTCGAAGAATATGAACAATTCAATCCAGGGAATTCATCCGAGAGAAGAATTGAGAGAGAGATAGGGAAGAAGAAGCTTGTTTATTATTTCACACCGTATCTTTACAATGGATATGCGTATTATATACAATTGGATACAACTGAATTAACAAAATCAGTTAGTTAGCTCCAGATTTGTCTCACTAATTGCTAACTAATTGTGCCAACTCAGCAACTACATTCTCCTTCTTGTATCAATACCCCTATCAGAAGATGAGACTTGTCCTCAAGTCTTGAAAGAAGGAAACCTTTGTTGAAGTGCTGTGAGATACTCCCAAGTTGAGTACTCCCTGCCCAACCCAGACCATTCAACTAAGACTTGTGTCACTGCCTTATTCCCTTTCTTGACCAATCTCCTCTCTAGGATACGGATAGGAGTGGGGCAGTGAGGGTGTGATAAGTGCACCACTGGAGGATGAGTGATGACAGCAGGCACTTGGTGGCATTTCTTCAATTGAGAAACATGAAATGTGTCATGTATAGCAGCGTGCTCAGGAAGTAGTAGCTTATAAGCAACCAGACCCACCTTCTCTGTAATGAAATAGGGTCCATAATACCTGGCTGCCAACTTCTGAAAAGGCCTGTTCATCATTGTTGTTTGCCTATAGGGCTGCAATTTCAAGTATACCCAATCACCAACCTCAAATCTCATGTCTGTTCTGTGCCTATCTGCCATATCTTTCATTCTCTTTTGGGCTCTTTGTATATGGTACTTGAGTAGCTGAATGACAGCTTCCCTAGCAACCAATGACCTATCCACCATTTCAGTCTTGGATTCCCCTGCCAGGTATGGTAGATGAAGAGCAGGTCGCTGGCCATATAAGACCTCATAAGGAGTACACTTAAGAGAGGTGTGATAAGTGGTATTATACCACCATTCTGCTAAGGGTAAATAGAGTGCCCATGTGGTAGGACTATCTGAGCAGAAGCACCTGAGATAGGTTTCAAGTGTTCTGTTTAAAACCTCAGTTTGACCATCTGTCTGTGGATGATAGGCAGTAGATCTCTGCAACTGGACCCCCACTAAGGAAAAGAATTCTTGCCAGAATTCACTAAGAAACACTGGGTCCCGATCACTAGTAATGGTAAGGGGCATACCATGCAATTTGTAGATATGATCAAGAAATGCTTGAGCCACATTTTGGGCGGTATATGGGTGCTTTAAACCGATGAAATGACCATATTTTCTTAGTCTATCTACCACCACCAATATCACTTCATTCCCCTGTACCTTGGGCAGGCCTTCAATGAAGTCCATGCAAATATCAGTCCATACACTTTCAGGAATAGGCAGGGGTTGCAATAGGCCTGGATAAGCAGCAACATCATATTTGTGTCTCTGACAGATATCACACTTATTGATGAATGCTCTAACATCTGGAATAAGGGACTTCCAATAAAAAAGAGCTTGTAACCTTTTAATTGTAGCATCCATTCCGGAATGTCCTCCTTGAGTTGTACTGTGCCATAAGTCAATAATAGCATTCCTCAGTTGTGGGTTATTTCCCACCACCAACCTACCCTTCCATCTGAGTTGCTCATTAATCCAAGTAAAAAATTTGTGAGGCTGTTGTTGGAGTTTAGAAATAAGTTCCTGTAAGGAGGTGTCTGTCTTCCATGAAGCTTTAATTTGATCAAGGAGAGTTGAGTCTTGTGGAATAAGAGAAATGGCCAACAACTCGGCTCCAGGCTTCCTTGATAGAGCATCAGCAGCTTTATTCTCAGACTCCTTTTTGTACTCAATGGTGAAATCACAAGCCATCAATTTTGTGATCCCTGCTATTTGAAAATCTGTATGGGCCTTCTGATCCAGCAGATACTTTAAAGCTTTTTGGTCAGTTCTTACAATAAATGGCTTACCCAGCAGATAGTGAGACCATTTAGTCACAACAAAAATTAGTGCCAATAATTCTCTGTCATATACTGACATAGCCTGGTGTTTGGGGGTTAATGCTTTACTGATGTAAGCAATTGGGTGTCCTTGTTGCATTAAAACTGCCCCAATTCCTTTGCCACTAGCATCAGTCTCTATGACATAGGGTTTGGAATAGTCTGGCATGGCTAATACTGGGGTAGAGATTAGGGCCTGCTTGACCTTAAAGAATGCTGTAGTAGCATCTTCTGACCATCCAAATGCATCTTTCTTTAACAACTCCTGGAGTGGTTTACACATAGCCCCAAACCCTTTGATAAACCTTCTGTAATATCCAGCCAACCCCAAAAATCCTCTCAATTCCTTGATGTTGGTAGGAATTGGCCATTGTTGTACTGCTTGTATCTTCCTTGGATCAGTAGCCACTCCTTCTGAGCTTATGAAGTGACCCAAGTATTCCACCTTGGTTACCCCAAAAGCACACTTTGATTTTTTAGCATAGAGTTGGTAATCCTTCATAAGTTGCAGGACTGCCCTTATATGTTCAATATGGTCTTCTAAGCTCTTACTGTAAACTAGTATATCATCAAAAAATACTAGTACAAATCTCCTCAATAATGGCTTGAACACTGCATTCATAAGAGCTTGGAAGGAAGAGGGAGCATTGGTTAGACCAAAAGGCATTACTAGAAATTCATAATGCCCCTCATGAGTTCTGAATGCTGTTTTATAGACATCTGCATCATGCATTCTCAGTTGGTGATACCCGGCCCTGAGATCTATCTTGGAAAATATCATTGCCCCTCCCAATTCATCCAATAGATCTTCTATAATAGGAATAGGATACTTGTCTTTTACAGTTTGTTGATTCACCTCTCTGTAATCCACACATAATCGCCAACTTCCATCTTTCTTCCCTACCAAAACAACTGGAGATGCGTAAGGACTGGTGCTATGTTGAATAACCCCCTGGTCCAGCATCTCTTGCACCAACTTCTCAATGATATCCTTCTTAACCCCGGGGTATCTATAAGGTCTTTTGTTTACTGGGTTGGCAGATTCCATCAAAGGAATTTTATGATCAAATGAATCCCTATATGGTGGAAGTGTGGTTGGCAATTCAAAGACACTATTGAATTGTTCAAGTAAAGCAGTAATTCCAGGGATATTAGGGGTACCCTGCTCAGCCTGAATATGGAAACAAGTTGTTGAGGTGTCATCCTTGGTAGTTAAAGCCATCATATAGAGTTGAGCCTTATCAATGCTCCCTTTCTCAACACCTTTCATTTTTGAGGCTTTAAGTTGGTTGTTGGCTCCCCTAAGGACATGCTTCTTCCCTTCAAAGTTGAATTCAATGATTCTGTTCCTGAAATCAAATAATATTCTTCCTAGTGTGTTCAGCCATTGTACTCCCAAAACAATATCCACACTTCCTAGCGGTAGTAGTAGGAAGTCAGAAACAAATGTGGTACCCTGCAATAGCCACTGTACATTTTTACAGATTGTGGCTGTTTGTACCCTCCTCCCATCAGCTACGCTGATGGATTGCTTTTGGATCTCACTAGTGTTACACTTCAGTTGCTTTGCTAGCTCTTGATCCATAAAATTATGGGTACTGCCCGTGTCTATTAGTATTTGCAGAGGTTGCTTTTCATGATATCTAGTGACTCTAAGTGTCTGGTACCCTGAAACACCCATTAGAGCCTGCAATGATATGGTCATAAGCTCATCCCAACCTTCTTGACCAACAGGCTCCATTGTAGCACCTTTATCAACACAGTCCTCTTCATCTCCCTCCATATCTATCAAAAAAATTTGCTTCTTATTGGCACACTTATGACCCACAACGTACTTCTCATCACAGAAGAAACAGAGTCCCTTTGCTCTTTTCTCATCCATTTCTGCAGGTGTTAGTCTCCTTCCTGTAGGAATTCCATTTGCCCCACCAATTTTAGAAACTGTACTTGAATTTGCTTTTTGAAGGCCCCCCCTTTAGGCCAGCTTGGGGTAGGCAGAATCCCCCCTGATTGTTTCCCACCACTCCTTAGCCCCCAAGATTGAGCTTGAGCAGTGAACACCTCCTCTTGCAACCTCGCAATTTTATAAGCTTGCATCAGAGTTTTTGGAGCATGCATCCTTACTGCCTTGTTCAATTCAGTTTTTAATCCTCCAATGAAACAACTGATTGCATTCTCATTGGACAGATTAACAATAGTCATAAGCCTATCAAAGGATGCTTGATATTCCCTAACTGTTCCTTTTTGAACTAAGTTTTTCAGTTCCCCCATTGGATCCTCAAAGGTTTCACCAAATCTCCCATTAAGAGCCAATGCATATTCTGTCCAACTGTAATTATTGATATTCACATCACGCATATATGATCTATGCCAAGCAATGGCTTCTCCTTCTAAGTGGATGGCAGCAATCTTTACCCTCTGGTCAGGTGGAACATCATCCATGGCAAATATTTGTTCCACCTTATAGAGCCAAGCCCTAAGCTCCTGACCAGAAAACTTTGGGAAATCCAATCTAGAGAAACGTGTAAGTGAATTACCAGAAGTGGAACCATGATGTGAACCATCGTGTCTTCTGTTCATATGAGACGATTCACCATCCCCATCCTTGTCCTTTGATTCCATTTTCTTCAGAATTTCCTTGAGTTTGCCCAGTTCCTGATCCGTCTGTGAACTTCGATCGTTGATGAGCGCCAATCCTTCCATTAACTTCTGCAGTTGAAGCTGGATTTGTGCCAATTTGTCTTCAGATTCGTCATTTACTCCTTCAGAAGCTCTAGTTCTCGTCATCTTGGCCAAGAATCGTAAGCTCTGATACCAATTGATACCAAAAATCAAGGAGAATATTCTAGGAAATGAGATATTTCGAAGAATATGAACAATTCAATCCAGGGAATTCATCCGAGAGAAGAATTGAGAGAGAGATAGGGAAGAAGAAGCTTGTTTATTATTTCACACCGTATCTTTACAATGGATATGCGTATTATATACAATTGGATACAACTGAATTAACAAAATCAGTTAGTTAGCTCCAGATTTGTCTCACTAATTGCTAACTAATTGTGCCAACTCAGCAACTACATTCTCCTTCTTGTATCAGACATCCCCATTATGAGGATTCTTTTAGGCGTTTTGGAAATTTCTTTTTGTATAAGAATCTATTTTGCATGTTTCAATTTTTTTCATTTTATTTTTCCATATTTTTATATTTATTTTTTCATTCTGGATTTTCTTTTTGAACTTATCAAAAAAAATATTCTAAAAAATAAAATCTGAAAATGTTTAATTTGAGAGAAATGGAGTACATATTAATTTTTTTATTTTTATCTCCAACTCAAAGAATTTTGAATTTTTTTAAAACATTATAAAAGATTAAAAAGACGTTTAAAAAACTTTGGGCTTTGATTTTACACCATTGCATGTTTAATTAATTAAATAAGGTGAATGAAAAATAAATAAAATTTTTGGTCAAGAATTCAGATGAATTGGAAGTGTGTAATTAATAATGAGAAATAAATGAAAGAGAGAGGAATAGATTTGGAAGTGAGTGTGTGTTACTCGTAGTTAATAGTCCAAGTAAGAGTCAAAGAAGGAGTCAAAGGCGGATTGTTAAGCAAGCCAAGCAAGCCCTAGATTTTAGGAAACAAAATGCAAAGTATATATACGTGACTACTACGTGAGTGAGTGCCATCCCACTATAGCCTAGCCGCAACGCAATCACAAGAAAGAAAGAAAGAAAGAAAGAAGTAATGGAGGAGGACGTGGGAGCGGTGTTCCGGAGGAAGCACAAGATGGAGGATGAGGACCAAGACATCGTCACCTTCATCCGCCAAGCCATCTCCGTCGCTTCCGTCGTCGCCCCCGACCAGCTCAAGAACCAGAGGACCCACATCCTCAAACTCCTCTTCA